TAAAGCATGATTTGGCCACAGATGATTATTAGCTTCTTTTTTTTTTTTAAAGAAGTTGTGGATTGTTTTAAATCTTATTGCCTACAGTCGAAAGGAAAGGCAGCGAGCAATTTGGGCAGATTATTGTTGAGTTGCGACAGTCTGTGAAAAGTAGATAGGCCAAGCCAGGCATATTGAAATATTTAAAAATACAATCGCAGGAAAACATAGTTCGGAAAGCAAATAATTATCGTTGTAAAGAGAAGACAACGAAAATACTAATCTGTTTTTTAGTTATCAAAATTCTCAATTTAACTGAGCAAACAACAGTATAGCCTATCTTATTGGGCACCAGGGTAGAGCATCGGCAATATGCGCGTATTCACCATTTATCGTAGTTGTTTCAGTGGTACTTAACGGTTTGTTTTTTTGACAATAATTTCCTCCAGTTGAGACGGTCATATTCTATTTTTATGACCCCTCGTCGTTTTTATTCATCTGTTTGTCAGCAGAGTAAAAAAAAAATATTCTGCTAATGTCTCCAGTAGAATAGTAGTAATAGTAGTAGTAAAATTGCATTTAATGTGTTTATAAAGAAAGAAGAAACATATGTGATGGAGCCTAGGGCTACTATACGCTATACGCTCTCAGCCATGAATTGAACTGTCTTTTTTGTTTTTGCGAAGGCTACGTTTGGAGTTATTTCTAATCAAATAAAATTTTAATGGGTCGCATACACACGTTTAGCAGATGTTATTGCGGGTGTAGCGAAATGCTTGTGTTCCTAGCTCCAACAGTGCAGTAGTATCTAATAAATTCACAACAATACACACACACATCTAAAAGTAAAAGATTGGAATTAAGATATATAGAAATATTAGGATGAGCAATGTCGGAGTCCGGTGTGTGTGTGTGTGTGTGTGTATACATATATGTGATGGATATATAGACATTATGGACAATATGTGGATGGAATATGTAGTATACAGTGAGGGAAAAAGGTATTTGATCCCCTGCTGATTTTGTACGTTTGCCCACTGATAATTTCTTTGTCAATCTATAATTTTAATGGTAGGTTTATTTGAACAGTGAGAGACAGAATAACAACAACAAAAAATGTTATAAGTTGATTTGCATTTTAATTAGGGAAATAAGTATTTGACCCCCTCTCAATCAGAAAGATTTCTGGCTCCCAGGTGTCTTTTATACAGGTAACGAGCTGAGATTAGGAGCACACTCTTAAAGGGAGTGCTCCTAATCTCAGCATGTTACCTGTATAAAAGACACCTGTCCACAGAAGCAATCAATCAGATTACAAACGTTCCACCATGGCCAAGACCAAAGAGCTCTCCAAGGATGTCAGGGACAAGATTGTAGACCTATACAAGGCTGGAATGGGCTACAAGACCATCCCAAGCTGGTGAGAAGGTGACAACAGTTGGTGCGATTATTCGCAAATGGAAGAAACACAAAAGACCTGTCAATCTCCCTCGGCCTGGGGCTCCATGCAAGATTTCACCTCGTGGAGTTGCAATGATCATGAGAACGGTGAGGAATCAGCCCAGAACTACACGGGAGGATCTTGTCAATGATCTCAAGGCAGCTGGGACCATAGTCACCAAGAAAACAATTGGTAACACACTACCCCGTGAAGGACTGAAATCCTGCAGTGCCCACAAGGTCCCCCTGCTCAAGAAAGCACATATACATGCCCGTCTGAAGTTTGCCAATGAACATCTGAATGATTCAGAGGAGAACTGGGTGAAAGTGTTGTGGTCAGATGAGACCAAAATCGAGCTCTTTGGCATCAACTCAACTCACCGTGTTTGGAGGAGGAGGAATGCTGCCTATGACCCCAAGAACACCATCCCCACCGTCAAATATGGAGGTGGAAACATTATGCTTTGAGGGGTGTTTTTCCTGCTAAGGGGACAGGACAACTTCACCGCATCAAAGGGACGATGGACGGGGCCATGTACCGTCAAATCTTGGATGAGAACCTCCTTCCCTCAGCCAGGGCATTGAAAATGGGTAGTGGATGGGTATTCCAGCATGACAATGACCCAAGGCAACAAACGAGTGGCTCAAGAAGAAGCACATTAAGGTCCTGGAGTGGCCTAGCCAGTCTCCAGACCTTAATCCCATAAAAATCTGTGGAGGGCGCTGAAGGTTCGAGTTGCCAAACGTCAGCCTCGAAACCTTAATGACTTGGAGAAGATCTGCAAAGAGGAGTGGGACAAAATCCCTCCTGAGATGTGTGCAAACCTGGTGGCCAACTACAAGAAACATCTGACCTCTGTGATTGTCAACAAGGGTTTTGCCACCAAGTACTAAGTCATGTTTTGCAGAGGGGGTCAAATACTTATTTCCCTCATTAAAATGCAAATCAATTTCTAACATTTTTGACATGCGTTTTTTCTGGATTTTTGTTGTTGTTATTCTGTCTCTCACTGTTCAAATAAACCTACCATTAAAATTATAGACTGATCATGTCTTTGTCAGTGGGCAAACGTACAAAATCAGCAGGGTATCAAATACTTTTTCCCCCCTCACTGTATCTGCAGAGTAGGTGGATAGAATAGTCTATGTACAGCAATAGTTGAATAGGATGGCCTCGACTAGAATACAGTATACATATGAATTTGGCCACTTTTGTTGTGATACAAACTGTGGGCTAGGCTGCATGATGTGTGGACTATGATTTTACCCCTGAGGTACTGACCTGTTGCACCCTCTACAACCACCGTGATTATTATTTGACCCTGCCGGTCATCTATGAACGTTTGTGTCACGTTGTATAATGACAGGAAGACAGGCGCAGGAATACGTATTAAGGGGTTGTATTTCTCCCCGCCCAACACCAGATACGTCATAACAAACAACGGGGACGAAGCCCAAAACAAACACGTACATATTTATAACACAGGGGCTGTAACCCAAACAAAAGATCGAGGTGTAAACCTCTAAATACATACACGGGAAGAGACCCGTAAAAACACGAGCACAATACACGGTACTCACGAGACCAACGGACATGGGGACAATAATCGACAGAGACAATGGGGAACAGAGGGCACATATATACACATACTAATCAGGGGGAATGGGAACCAGGTGTGCGTAATGAGACAAGACAGTCCGGGGTTGGTGGTAATGAACCATGTCAGTGACGCTTAGAAGGCCGGTGACGTTGACCTCCGGAACTGATGAACGGAATGAGCAGCAGTACCGGGGGGGGGGGGATCCGTGACAGTTTGAACATCTTGAAGAACGATCTGGCCTTAATGGCCATGTACTCTTATAATCTCCACCCGTCACAGCCAGAAGAGGACTGGCCACCCCTCAGAATCTGGTTCTTCTCTAGGTTTCTTCCTAGGTTCATGCCTTCTAGGGAGTTTTTCCTAGCCACCTTGCTTCTACATCTGCATGGCGTGCTGTTTGGGGTTTTTGCTGGGTTTCTGTATAGGGCTGGGTTTCTGTATAGTGTCATAGCTTGTGCATGACCTTTGATTCAATCAATACATCATTTGTCAGCTTATGGTGCCATGTCTTGAGTTTCACACACACACACACACACACACACACATACACACACATACACACACCACACACACACACACATACACACACACCACACACACACACACACCACATACACACACACACACCACACACACACAAAAATCCCCTTCTCTTAGGCTGAACATCTGAAGACAGAGAACCCGACTCAGAGCCAATGCAACAGTGACACTAGCCTGGAGGTGACCTCGCCCAACTCATCAGGACCAATCAGAAGATCAGAACTGCTAGATTCACACCTACTTCATTTATTGTATAAAATGTCAGCACACAATGTTTAGGGGCTCTCTCTCAGATATCTCCCTACGAGATTGACGAACGGGTCCGTGCACGCTATTTACAGATATCTTTACCTCTGAATAAACTGCCTTATATTATACAATTATCCACCTTGTCCGAAAGTCTCTACTTGGTCTCCGTTCTCCAGTAAACTTGTGATCATCAACAATAGCACTTTGTGACATCTGCTGATGTAAAAAGGGCCTTATAATTGACTGATTGATTGATAATGCGTGACTTTTTTATGCTATAAAAAACGTTGACACGGTTGACCGCATCTCCATTTATTCACAGCATGGACCCTTTCAATCACGAGTGTCTTCTTCTTCTTCAGTGGGGTTTATCGGCGGTCGGCATCCAACGTTATGGTGCATTACCGCCACCTACTGTACTGGAGTGTGGGCCAGAGCCAGGGAGAAACGAAATCCTACCTGCCAGCCTCGTTTCTCTTAAAATATATAATTAAATATTTGAGATTGTATCTAATGACTACTCTACTCAATATACTCGTTAAACTCAATTCCTGTATCCCCTTCTCCCTCATACTAGATCTCAGCCTCTCTCTTTCCCTCTGATACTGCCCACACTAATACATGCTCCACTGTCTCTGTTTCCTGGCAATAATCACACTTTCCTGTTGGATGCTTTCCTATCAAGTTTAAAGTCTTATTCTACCGGCTGTGTCCCACACTTAATCTAGTAACGAGAGTCTCCTCTCTTCTGTCCCTTCCTGCCGTCCTCCCAGGTCAAATCAAATCACATGTTATTTGTCACATGCACCGAATCCAACAGGTGTAGACCTTACAGTGAAATGCTTACTTGCAAGCCCTTAACCAACAATGCAGTTTTAAAAAGTAAGTGAGAGCAATTTGCTAAATAAACTAAAGGAAAAATAGTAACACAATAAAAATAACAATAACGAGGCTATACACAAGGGGTACCGCTACCGAAAGGCCAATTAATAAATAAAAAGGATCAGAATTGGGCTGCCTGTGTAAATGCAGCCTTTATGTGTTTTTAAAATGTTTTAGCTAATAAATAAAATCAACCAACCAGTCAATTACACCCTTCGCTGACAATCACACACCAAAACGACACAGAAAGAAATAGTGCCACCTGGAGGTGAGGAAGTCCGTTTCCACTCTTCACCAACCGCGTGTGTCCTGCCGCGGTCCAGTTCTGTTCTGCTGGGGACCTGTCTGGGTAGAGGTGCTCTGCCGTGGGACGGATCAATCCAACAAGCTCTGCCGTGGTCCAGTTCTGTTCTGCTGGGGACCTGTCTGGGTAGAGGTGCTCTGCCGTGGGACGGATCAATCCAACAAGCTATTGACGCTGTCTTTACACGGGTAAATGATTCAACTGGAACTATGGAATGTAAGACAAAGATAACAGCCCTAAAACAGTATCCGTTTATTTCGGTTTTGCTTTGAGCATCACATTGTGTTGTTTAACTATTCTGGCTCGCTAGCTAGGTTACCTAGCTAGTTAGCTTAGCTATGGCTTTATGCGGTAACTTTTACCTTAATAGTTAGCTAGCCACCTCGCCAAGAATCTCTGAACCTTTCTGTTTGCTTGCTAATTGACGGCTAGCTAGATAGCAAGCTACATATTTTATGGCTAGCTGAGTGTCAATGTTGGAACTAGGGACTTAACGTTAGCTAGCTAGTGGTAATTACTAGCTAACGTTAGCTAGCTTGCTTGTTATCTAGCTAGTTAACTAAATAGCTAGATAGATATATAGCCAGCTCAACTGTCAGTTTACCCAACAGCTTCCTTAATTTGTAACTAGGTCAATTCAAAGGTTCCACAGTGGTTCAGGATAAACCTGTAGTAAGATAATAGATCCAGTCACTGAAACAGATTACATGAATTCAGTAGGCCTACGTTTTAGTTGACATTTTGTAAATTAAATCATGTACATTTTGGCTGACCCTCCTTTTTTTTTCAGATAAAGCCATGAACCAAGAGAAACTCGCCAAACTTCAGGCCCTGGTCCGGATAGGTGGAAAGGTAACGACCTACTATCTTTACACTTCGTTATGACACAGCCATGACTACACCGTAGTCACTTTTCCAGTATCTGGTAATGTAATAGGTTGGTATGGTAACCTAACTGCCTGTGATAAAGCAGCTGCCAGTCCTGTTTCCCTGAGTTAAGCATTCCTATTATGGACAGATGCTTTGGCCCATTCAGCCTGGGACCTGTGTGGCCGGACTATGGGCCCCAGGGCTTTGTCTCTGACTGTTTAGTAGGGGCCCCATCCTGCTGTGCTGTCTCCTCTCCACAGCTAGATGGCACTGTTGGCACTCAGGATATCACTAACCTGTTATTTCAAGGGGTTCTTCAAAATTGCTTTTTATTTGATTTATTTAACCTTTATTTAATTAGGCAGGTCAGTTAAGAACAAATTCTTATTTACAATGACGGCCTACACCGGCCAAACCCGGACCACGCTGGGCCAATTGTGCGCCGCCCTATGGGACTTCCAATCACGGCCGGTTGTTATACAGCCTGGAATCGAACCAGGGGGTCTGTAGTGACGCCTCGAGCACTGAGATGCAGTGCCTTAGACCGCTGCGCCACTCGGGAGCTTAAGTTGACGATGGTTTTAAGTTAGGCTTCTACGCCATTGTGCTGACCTGAGATGGTTCAAAATGAGTTGACAAATGTTTGAGAGAAGACTCGTATACATTTCCCTGGGCTCTGAGTCTAAGCAATGGGCAGAAGATTCTATCTGTGTTCACTGCGTGTGTGTGTGTTGTATCCAAAGTCATTCTATGGTTGCATCGGTCACCTCCAGTCCCTTTCATGGCTGCTCTGCAGTGTTTCTCTTGTTTGTACTCGGTCCCACTGGAATAATATGACAACCAGGTGTTGTCCTCACTTGTTGTTCTTGTCCGCCATGAAGTCTTAAGGCTTCATGCCACAATGACTACCGCCCTGTAGAACTCACATCTGTAATCATGAAGTACTTCGAAAGGCTGGTTATGGCACATATCAACTCCACCATCCCAGACACTCTAAACCCACTCCAATTTGCATACCACCCCAACAGATCCATAGACTCAATCTCAATTGCACTCACACACTGGCCACACCCATCTATGTGAGAAATTCTGTTTGACTACAGCTCAGCATTCAACACCATTGTCCTCTCCAAGCTAGTCAACAAAATTAGGACCCTGGGCAGGGTTTCCGTAAAGAAAATGTGGCCGCCTCAGCGTTTTAATTTACCGGACATTTGAGAACTGTACCTGACCCATATGCATTGGGGGAGTAACCTGATTAGGGTGTCCACACCCACAGTGCTCAGAATGACCAATCACATTTAGATTATGGTGATTCATATTAACAGAACATGCAAGTTGAGGATGCAACGATATTTACATTTACGTCATTTAGCAGACGCTCTTATCCAGAGCGACTTACAAATTGGTGCATTCACCTTATAGCCAGTGGGACAACCACTTTACAATGTTTTTTATTTTATTTTATTTTTTGGGTGGGGTAAGGGGGGGGTTGACCTTCGTACCAAATTCCGATACGCACCTTAAAGATGTTAGAATAACTGTCCACATTTTACTTTTCCTCAGCCAACAGGACGAGTAACGAACAGCCAAATCACCAGCTGTCAGTCTACATACACACTGTCTCTAATACACACTGTCTCTAATACACACTGTCTTTATACACACTGTCTTTATACACACTGTCTCTATACACACTGTCTCTATACACACTGTCTCTATACACACTGTCTCTATACACACTGTCTCTATACACACTCTCTATAACACACTGTCTCTATAACACACTGTCTTTAATACACACTGTCTTTAATACACACTGTCTTTAATACACACTGTCTTTAATACACACTGTCTCTATACACACTGTCTTTAATACACACTGTCTCTAATACACAATGTCTCTAATACACACTGTCTCTAATACACACTGTCTTTATACACACTGTCTCTATACACACTGTCTCTATACACACTGTCTTTATACACACTGTCTCTAATACACACTGTCTCTATACACACTGTCTTTAATACACACTGTCTTTAATACACACTGTCTTTAATACACACTGTCTTTAATACACACTGTCTTTAATACACACTGTCTTTAATACACACTGTCTCTATACACACTGTCTCTAATACACACTCTAATACACACTGTCTCTATACACACTGTCTCTATATACACTGTCTCTATACACACTGTCTCTATACACACTGTCTCTATATACACTGTCTCTATACACACTGTCTCTATACACACTGTCTCTATACACACTGTCTCTAATACACACTGTATCTAATACACACTGTATCTAATACACACTGTATTTAATACACACTGTCTTTAATACACACTGTCTCTAATACACACTGTCTCTAATACACACTGTCTCTAATACACACTGTCTCTATACACACTGTCTCTATACACACACACAACACGCGCACACATTCATATTGACTCTACACACCCACCCACTCACATACAATCATCATATACGCTGCTGCTACTCTGTTTATCATATATCCTGATGCCTAGTCACCTTACCCCTATACATATCTACCTCCATCACTCCAGTATCCCTGCACATTGTTAATATGGTACTGGAACTGACCCTGTATATAGTCACCTGACCCCTATACATATCTACCTCCATCACTCCAGTATCCCTGCACATTGTTAATATGGTATTGTACTGACCCTGTATATAGTCACCTTACCCCTATACATATCTACCTCCATCACTCCAGTATCCCTGCACATTGTTAATATGGTATTGTACTGACCCTGTATATAGTCACCTGACCCCTATACATATCTACCTCCATCACTCCAGTATCCCTGCACATTGTTAATATGGTATTGTACTGACCCTGTATATAGTCACCTTACCCCTATACATATCTACCTCCAGTATCCCTGCACATTGTTAATATGGTACTGGAACTGACCCTGCATATAGTCACCTGACCCCTATACATATCATATGCTTACTTACTTTCTCATGTTCTTCTTATTTGTATTTTTTGTGTGTTTTTATTCTAACGTAAGTTATTTTTAACGCTACATTGATATTGATTACTGCATTGTTGGGTTTGGAGCTTGCAAGAAAGGCATTTCTCTGTACTTGTGCACGTGACATGAAAAACGTGTTGTTGTCCTCAGGGAACAGCTCGTAGGAAGAAGAAGGTGGTTCACAGAACAGCAACGGCTGATGACAAAAAACTCCAGAGTTCCTTGAAGAAGCTGGCAGTGAACAACATCTCTGGTATTGAGGAGGTATGCCAAACATTCACTCCCATCACACCTTTCTCCCAAGTAGTATTATTATGTCATCAACAATTTCCGACAAACTGATTGTATGGATTCTTTTCTTCTTTTGACTACACTCCAAAGTTAAGATTTGAAATCGAACAATGACTTGAGGTTTAAAGTGCAGACTGTCAGCTTTATTTAGAGGTGTTTTCATCCATATCGGGTGAACCGTTTAGAAATTACAGGACTTTTTGTACCTAGTCCCTCCATTTTAGGGGACCAAAAGTATTGGGACATGTATTAAAGTAGTAAAAAGTGTAGTATTTGGTCCCATATTCGTAGCACACAACGATTACATCAAGCTTTTGACTCTACAAACTTGTTGGATACATTTTGCTGTTTGTTTTGGTTGGGTTTCAGATTATTTTGTGCCCAATAGAAGTGAATGGTAAATAATGTAATAATGTAATGGTAAATAATGTATAATGTATATTTCTAAACACTTCTACATTAATGTGGATGCTACCATGATTACGTATAATCTTGAATTAATCGTGAATAATGATGAGTGAGAAAGTTAAACACACAAATATCATATCCACAAGACATGCTAACCTCTCACCATTACAATAACAGGGTAGGTTAGCATTTTTTGGAAGGGTATGATATTTGTGCATCTAACTCATCATTTTGGGACCAAATACTACACTTTTTACTACTTTAATACACATATAAGGGAATTTGTCCCAATACTTTTGGTCCCCTAAAATGGGGGGACAATGCACAAAAAGTGGTGTAATTTCTAATTGGTTCACCCAATATGGATGAAAATACCCTCAAATTAAAACTGACAGTCTGCACTTTAACCTCATAGTCATTGTTTGGTTTGAAAACAAAACGTTTGGAGTATAGAGCCAAAAGAAGGAAATGCTTCCCTGTCCCAGTAACTACGGAGGGCACTATACAGTGGGGGAAAAAAGTATTTAGTCAGCCACCAATTGTGCAAGTTCTCCCACTTAAAAAGATGAGAGGCCTGTAATTTTCATCATAGGTACACGTCAACTATGACAGACAAATTGAGGGAAAAAAATCCAGAAAATCACATTGTAGGATTTTTAATGAATTTATTTGCAAATTATGGTGGAAAATAAGTATTTGGTCAATAACAAAAGTTTCTCAATACTTTGTTATATACCCTTTGTTGGCAATGACACAGGTCAAACGTTTTCTGTAAGTCTTCACAAGGTTTTCACACACTGTTGCTGGTATTTTGGCCCATTCCTCCATGCAGATCTCCTCTAGAGCAGTAATGTTTTGGGGCTGTCGCTGGGCAACACGGACTTTCAACTCCCTCCAAAGATTTTCTATGGGGTTGAGATCTGGAGACTGGCTAGGCCACTTCAGGACCTTGAAATGCTTCTTACGAAGCCACTCCTTCGTTGCCCGGCGGTGTGTTTGGGATCATTGTCATGCTGAAAGACCCAGCCACATTTCAGTTTCAATGCCCTTGCTGATGGAAGGAGGTTTTCACTCAAAATCTCACGATACATGGCCCCATTCATTCTTTCCTTTACACGGATCAGTCGTCCTGGTCCCTTTGCAGAAAAACAGCCCCAAAGCATGAAGTTCCCACCCCCATGCTTCACAGTAGGTATGGTGTTCTTTGGATGCAACTCAGCATTCTTTGTCCTCCAAACACGACGAGTTGAGTTTTTACCAAAAAGTTATATTTTGGTTTCATCTGACCATATGACATTCTCCCAATCCTCTTCTGGATCATCCAAATGCACTCTAGCAAACTTCAGACGGGCCTGGACATGTACTGGCTTAAGCAGGGGGACACGTCTGGCACTGCAGGATTTGAGTCCCTGGTGGCGTAGTGTGTTACTGATGGTAGGCTTTGTTACTTTGGTCCCAGCTCTCTGCAGGTCATTCACTAGGTCCCCCCGTGTGGTTCTGGGATTTTTGCTCACCGTTCTTGTGATCATTTTGACCCCACGGGGTGAGATCCTGCGTGGAGCCCCAGATCGAGGGAGATTATCAGTGGTCTTGTATGTCTTCCATTTCCTAATAATTGCTCCCACAGTTGATTTCTTCAAACCAAGCTGCTTACCTATTGCAGATTCAGTCTTCCCAGCCTGGTGCAGGTCTACAATTTTGTTTCTGGTGTCCTTTGACAGCTCTTTGGTCTTGGCCATAGTGGAGTTTGGAGTGTGACTGTTTGAGGTTGTGGACAGGTGTCTTTTATACTGATAACAAGTTCAAACAGGTGCCATTAATACAGGTAACGAGTGGAGGACAGAGGAGCCTCTTAAAGAAGAAGTTACAGGTCTGTGAGAGCCAGAAATCTTGCTTGTTTGTAGGTGACCAAATACTTATTTTCCACCATAATTTGCAAATAAATTCATAAAAAATCCTACAATGTGATTTTCTTAATTTTTTTCCCTCAATTTGTCTGTCATAGTTGACGTGTACCTATGATGAAAATTACAGGCCTCTCTCATCTTTTTAAGTGGGAGAACTTGCACAATTGGTGGCTGACTAAATACTTTTTTTTCCCCACTGTATATACAGAGCATTCGGAAAGTATTCAGACCCCTTCCCTTTTCCCACTTTTTTTCACGTTACAGCCTTATTCTAAAATGTTTTTTATTTTTTCAAAATCCTCATTAATCTACACACAATACCCCAAAATGACAAAGCGAAAACAGTTTTTTAGAAATGTTTGCAAATGTATTAAAAATGAACACATACCGTATTTACATAAGTATTCAGACCATTTGCTAATGAGACTTGAAATTAAGCTCAGGTGCATCCTGTTTCATTGATCATCCTTTGAGATGTTTCTACAACTTGATTGGATTCCACCTGTGGTAAATTCAATTGATTGGACATGATTTTGAGAGGCAAACACCTGTCTATATAAGGTCCCACAGTTGACAGTACATGTCAGAGCAAAAACCAAGCCATGAGGTCGAAGGAATTGTCCTTAGAGCTCCTAGACAGGATTGTGTCGAGGCACAGATCTGGGGAAGGGTACCAAAAAATGTCTGCAGCATTGAAGGTCCCCAAGAACACAGTGGCCTCCATCATTCTTAAATGGAAGAAGTTTGGAACCACCAAGACTCTTCCTAGAGCTGGCCGCCCGGTCCAAACTGAGCAATCGGGGGATAAGGGCCTTGGTCAGGGAGGTGAACAACAACCCGATGGTCACTCTGACAGAGCTCCAGAGTTCCTCTGTGAAGATGGGAGAACCTTCCAGAAGGACAACCATCTATGCAGCACTCCACCAATCAGGCCTTTATGGTAGAGTGGCCAGACAGAAGCCACTCCTCAGTAAAAGGCACATGACAGCCCACTTGGAGTTTGCCAAAAGGCACCTAAAGGACTCTCAGACCATGAGAAACAAGATTCTCTGGTCTGATGAAACCAAGATTGAACTCTTTGGCCTGAATGCCAAGCATCACGTCTGGAGGAAACCAGGCACCGCTTATCACCTGGCCAATACCATCCCTACGGTGAAGCATGGTGGTGGCAGCATCATGCTATGGGGATGTTTTTCAGCGGCAGGGACTGGGAGACTAGTCAGGCTTGAGGGAAAGATGAACGGAGCAAAGTACAGAGAGATCCTTGATGAAAGGCTGTAATCGCTGCCAAAGGTGCTTCAACAAAGTACTGAGGAAAGGGTCTGAATACTTATGTAAATGTTTTTATAAAAAGCAGTTTTTGCTTTGTCATTATGGGGTATTGTGTGTAGATTGATGAGGGGAAAAAACAATTTAATCCATTTTAGAATAAGGATGTAACGTAACAATGTGGAAAAAGTCAAGGAGTCTCAATACTTTCCAAATGCACTGTATGTATGTATGGACCAGTGATATCCAATTCCAGAACTAGAGGAGACCCCTGGTATTGACAACTGGTGTCCAACCCCCATCTTAATTATCCTCCCCCAGGTCAACATGATAAAGGACGATGGCACAGTGATCCACTTCAACAACCCCAAGGTGCAGGCCTCTCTGTCTGCCAACACGTTTGCCATCACAGGCCATGCAGAGAACAAACAGCTCACAGAGATGCTCCCGGGCATCCTCAGCCAGCTGGGGGCAGACAGCCTCACCAGCCTCCGCAAACTGGCTGAGCAGTTCCCACGCCAAGGTGGGTGGGACATGGACACACTGATATGCACACACAGATCGACAGACGGACACAGACAGACAGAGGGACAACTTCTAACGTGGTCGCATCCACACACTGTCCCCTATATAGTCACATCCACACTGTCCCCTATATAGCCACGCATCCACACACTGTCCCCTATATAGTCACATCCACACTGTCCCCTATATAGTCACATCCACACACTGTCCCCTATATAGTCACATCCACACACTGTCCCCTATATAGTCACATCCACACACTGTCCCCTATATAGTCACATCCACACTGTCCCCTATATAGTCACATCCACACACTGTCCCCTATATAGTCGCATCCACACACTGTCCCCTATATAGTCACGCATCCACACACTGACCCCTATATAGTCACATCCACACACTGTCCCCTATATAGTCACATCCACACTGTCCCCTATATAGTCACGCATCCACACACTGTCCCCTATATAGTCACATCCACACACTGTCCCCTATATAGTCACATCCACACACTGTCCCCTATATAGTCACATCCACACACTGTCCCCTATATAGTCACATCCACACACTGTCCCCTATATAGTCACATCCACACACTGTCCCCTATATAGTCACATCCACACACTGTCCCCTATATAGTCACATCCACACACTGTCCCCTATATAGTCACATCCACACACTGTCCCCTATATAGTCACATCCACACTGTCCCCTATATAGTCACACATCCACACTGTCCCCTATATAGTCACATCCACACTGTCCCCTATATAGCCACGCATCCACACACTGTCCCCTATATAGTCACATCCACACTGTCCCCTATATAGTCACCATCCACACACTGTCCCCTATATAGTCACACATCCACACACTGTCCCCTATATAGTCCACATCCACACACTGTCCCCTATATAGTCACACATCCACACACTGTCCCCTATATAGTCACATCCACACACTGTCCCCTATATAGTCACACCATCCACACACTGTCCCCTATATAGTCACCATCCACACACTGTCCCCTATATAGTCACATCCACACACTGTCCCCTATATAGTCACCATCCACACTGTCCCCTATATAGTCACGCATCCACACACTGTCCCCTATATAGTCACCAACATCCACACACTGTCCCCTATATAGTCACACCACACTGTCCCCTATATAGTCACATCCACACACTGTCCCCTATATAGTCACGCATCCACACACTGTCCCCTATATAGTCACGCATCCACACACTGTCCCCTATATAGTCACCCATCCACACACTGTCCCCTATATAGTCACGCATCCACACACTGTCCCCTATATAGTCAGCATCCACACACTGTCCCCTATATAGTCACCATCCACACACTGCATCCATCCACACTGTCCCCTATATAGTCACGCATCCACACACTGTCCCCTATATAGTCACATCCCACACTGTCCCCCTATATAGTCACACATCCACACACTGTCCCTATATAGTCACACATCCACACCACTGTCCCCTATATAGTCACCATCCACACCACTGTCCCCTATATAGTCACATCCCCACACTGTTCCCCTATATAGTCACACATCCACACACTGTCCCCTATATAGTCACCATCCACACTGTCCCCTATATAGTCACGCATCCACACACTGTCCCTATATAGTCACCATCCACACACTGTCCCCCTATATAGTCACACATCCACACACTGTCACCTATTATAGTCACATCCACACATGTCCCTATATAGTCACACATCCACACACTGTCCCTATATAGTCACATCCACACTGTCCCCTATATAGTCACATCCAAACACTGTCCCATATATAGTCACACTAATCCACACACTGTCCCCATTATAGTCACACATCCCACACTGTCCCTATATAGTCACAAACCACACTATCCCCTATATAGTCACGCATCCACACACTGTCCCCTAATAGTCACGCATCCAACTGTCCCCTATATAGTCACGCATCCACACACTGTCCCCTATATAGTCACGCATCCACACACTGTCCCCTATATAGTCACGCATCCACACACTGACCCCTATATAGTCACGCATCCACACACTGTCCCCTATATAGTCACCCATCCACACACTGTCCCTATATAGTCACGCATCACACACTGTCCCCTATATAGTCACCAATCCAACACTGTCCCCTATATAGTCACGCATCCACACACTGACCCCTATATAGTCACGCCATCCACACACTGTCCCCTATATATCACGCATCCAACACTGACCCCTATATAGTCACGCATCCACACACTGTCCCCTATATGTCACGCATCCACACACTGGGCCCCTATATAGTCACACATCCACACATGTCCCCTATATAGTCACGCATCCACACACTGTCCCCTATATAGTCACCCATCCACACACTGTCCCCTATTAAATGGATATTTCTACCCATTTCTTCTCCAATTGCAGCACTTGACAACAAAGCGACGTCAATCAGCAAACCAGAAGATATTGAAGAGGAGGATGACGATGTTCCAGGTATTGTTTCACACAACGCTTTGTTGTTAAATCACAGCATCATGTAACCTTTGACCCTTTACTGTGATGTGAATTATCACGTGGAGGTGCAGTATGTTGGTCTCCCTCCCTGGTGTGTGATACGGTGCCGGTACGGCATGGGGTTTAGGATTATCTCCATGTGGGGGTTTAGGATTATCTCCATGTGGGGGTTTAGGATTATCTCCATGTGATCTTGGAACAGTTTTCAGCCATTTTAAATATGTTAATCACTAGCCTGAGAACAGGTGATTTGCTTGGTTTCACTTTGAATTTGGCTTAGCAGAAGAATCATTCTGGACACAGCCAGGCTAGTTTCTCATATTGAATTAAATATTATGTGTGTGTAGGTTTGCATCATATGAGACTCCTCTGGAATTGACTCCCATCTCTCCTCTCCACAGATCTTGTAGAAAACTTTGATGAGGCGTCAAAGAATGAAGCCGACTGAACCAATCCAACTCCAACCCTCTACTACCCTCCACCTAGTACCAACTACCCAGTACCTGCTCAGTACCCCACCTACTAACCAGTACCCACCCCCTCTATCATGTGGGCTCAAACAGGGGGCCTGTTCAGGAAGATGTAACGTTACAGAACGTTCAGCTAAAAATGTAACGTATAGAACAGATATGAATGTCTGTCAAATGCAACAGGGAATCATGTCAGCTCTATCCGTTCTGTTTCTATCTGTGACGTTCAGAATGTTTCACGTTAACTGAATACACCCCAGACCTCTCTGTTACGGTAGAACTGTTGTTGATGGAAAGGCGTCGTCTGGGGTATTTTAACCTCAGAGAAACCAACTTGGGGCCGTGTGTCCCAAATGGCTCCCTATTCACAGGGTTCTGGTCAAAAGTAGTGCACTATGTAGGGTATAGGATGCGATCTGGGACGCAGGACCCGTGTACCAACCCATAGCAACACAACAATACATCATGTGTTTTTTTAACAGGCTGTCGCATTCAGGACTAGATTCCCCCTTGAGTGACTAGGGCACTTAGGTCGTGGCTGAAATGGCACCCTATCCTCTTGCACTATACAGTGAATAGGGTCCCATTTCGAAACGCACCTTCAGTACAGCCGTCAGTCATCTAAAGGTTTAAAAGGCCCTTTGCTATAGAACGTCTAACGCGTTCCAACCCAGCCGTGTCAGACAGCATTGGTCTTATTGAATTGTTTTTCTTCCTGTGTTATTAAAAACAAAATAAGTGATCCATTAATATTTAGTTTGCTGTGTTTTTATTAGCTGTATTAGGGATCTGCTTGTTCAATCCAACAGTGTGTTTTTATTAGCTGTATTAGGGATCTGCTTGTTCAATCCAACAGTGTGTTTTTATCAGCTGTGTTAGGGATCTGCTTGTTCAATCCAACAGTGTGTTTTTATCAGCTGTATTAGGGATCTGCTTGTTCAATCCAACAGTGTGTTTTTATTAGCTGTATTAGGGATCTGCTTGTTCAATCCAACAGTGTGTTTTTATCAGCTGTGTTAGGGATCTGCTTGTTCAATCCAACAGTGTTTTTATCAGCTGTGTTAGGGATCTGCTTGTTCAATCCAACAGTGTGTTTTTATCAGCTGTGTTAGGGATAGCAACATTGAATAGTTCAGATCCAATGTGTGTGTCTGAAATGGTGCCCTATTCCCTATAACGTGTACAAATGGGGCTCTGGTCAAAAGTAGTGCACTACAGGAAATGCATTCCATTTGGGATGAAGCCTGTGCATAGTTTTGCTAATTTTTTTTTATGACATGTTTTGGTTTTTCATGTTATTGAGGGGCTGCAAAGCAGGCTTTGTCCAAGTGGATGGGGATCTGCATTTTTTTTCCTGTGGTTGTGCTTAATTTTATAAATGGCATATAAAGACTCACAAGACAACAGAATAGAGCCTCACCAGGAATGTGTGTGTAAATGTATAGGCTATTTTCCCCCAAGGTCTCACAGCATAGATCACCTATTTGCCTGACAATCAGACTGTGATACCTACGGTACACAGTCTGAGATAATGCCATACATTTGTTTGGAAAATACATCTCACAAGCCAGAATGTTGAATACAATTATATTTCATCATACTTTTCCGGTTGTTCTTGTGGTTGGTCCTTTAGCGGGGAGGAAGGTGAGACGGAAAGTATAACTTTTTAAAACGCAGGTAGAGTTCAGATTTCTGACACCTGAAACATGTGCACGAGATGAAAATAGATGGACGAGATGCATTCCTACTTGCCGAGATCGTGCAGGTGTTTACATGGGTTCTTTCTGCGCATGCTTCAGGTGATAGAAATCTGAACTCACTACCAGCGTTTTGAAAAAACGTTGATCTATATTGTCTCACATTCATAACTCCAAAAGGACCAACCGCACAGACAACCTGTAAAGCAAGTTAAAATATAATTGTATTCAACTTTCTGTCTTGAAATAACTTTCCTGATCCAAACACTAATTTCTGCCCGACATAAGATTCAATTGCAATTCAACGTCGGGTCTTCAGGCTAATCACACCACTGCATGGTTACAAAGCCAATGTGAAATC